TTCAGAGATCCCAGCATACACTGAAGACCAGGTAAGATATCGAGACCTATGTGGACTGAAAAACTATGGCATCCTGGTACCTTCCATTGGTAGAGAGTCATTTTTGTACTAATTGGATCACAGGTTTTAAGCCATTATAACAAATCCCTTTTCTGTTCATATATTTCTGGATTCACTTTTACTCCTCTGGAGAACCCTAACAATGGAAAATTAATTGTCTATTTGCTTCATATGTTCAATGGTGAATCAGTACTTATGGGGACGAAGACACAAGTCAGTATAATTTAACTCTATAAGGCCAACGTTCCACTCAGCACAATCATGAGGTTTTCATCAATGAGCCCAGCAGACTCCACTGCAGCGGTGGCTTTTCTGTGAGAGCATCAGTTATCACTGTCATCTCATGGATAGAATGTGGGCCGCAAACAGGGAGGTGACACAGGCTTGAGTTATGATAGTCAGGTTCACCTTCCTGTTCTCCCCGCTGCTTTTGTTCAGTTTTATTCTAGGATTTAGACTCTTGCTATGTAGGGAAGGGCTATGGTTAAAATGTGAAATGATTTCCAGAAGCTCAGGGTTTTGACTTCTTGCTCTCCTGTTGGTGACACTGCTTTGGGAGACCAGTGGCTAAGTTTTGACTAAACCTATGAGCTAGAGGGATTTAATTAGCTGAGTTTGACGAAGATTTCCTGAGTCTTTCGATGGGAGGTGCTGATCTCCTTAGGAGGCTTAGACTGAATCTTGGCCGACCACCCTGCCTGTCCTGCCAAGAACTGAAGAGCAGAAACTAACCCTTCTCCATTCAAATTGCTTCAGTTGCGTATTGGACCCATCAATGAGGAAGACAAGGAACATACCCAGCTGTCCTCACTCCTGCTCTCCCTGTCTCAGCCCTGCTAGTGCTGGAATGAGAGCTGTGTACAACCTTGGCTGTGCCAGGTCTTTCCCAGGCCCCTCCAAACCCTTCCCACCTGACCTCTTTCTTCCCTCTCCCTTCCTTCCTCCATCTTCTCTCCTTCTTACTTCTCCTCCTCCGCCCTCTTCTTCTTTTTCTCTTTTCTGTCTCTCCCTATCTCTTCATTTCTTCTCAGAAGTTAAGTATGAGCTGCAATTTGAGTAGGTCCAAAGAGATTTCCCATCAAAAGCCTTGAGAAAACTGGGTTTTTTTAACGCAGTGTGGGGGTTTCTCAGCAAGCACAAGACTCTGCGATCAGTTTATAGCCACAAAAGGAACAAGAAAATGGACTTGAGAGTAAATCTGAACATGGAGCCTTGAGCACATCATAAATCTTCACCCAACAGTGTGACTCATGTGTGCCCCAGAGGAGGAACACCCCAGGCTGGCTCCTCATGGGTCCTTGACACTGTGGGGTATTTCATGTTTATGTTTCAAGCTGTGTATCTGGGGACAATTTATTCTGTATTAGTAGATGTGGGGAAAGACCAGTCTCCCTCTTAGTAATTAGGACTGAGTGTGAGGGACGACAGTTCAGAACACAACATGCAGGCTCACCCTGAAATGACTAAGGTAAGTTCTTCATGCTCTGACTCCATCTTCAGTTTGCTCACACAGTTCTCAGCAACCTCTGTTCCCCTACAAGTCACATTTGTCTTCACATGTATTTGAGATTTCCATGGACATACCCATGGTGCAGATGCATCAACCAGAGTAAATAAAGGAAACCACAAGAAATAAAAAGCTATAGGAAAATTATTGTAATGGTATGATTTAAATAGTTACTATGCTCTGTCAGAAAGGAACATTTCAGATTAATCTGACCTTCATATAATTTCTGTACAAATTAGGTGTCTTTGATATTTGACTTTAAGCATGCATGATGTGCCCTTGAGTTTGGGGACCTACAGACTTTTAGAAATAATCAGTTCACTTTTGATCTTATCAGTAATAAAATTACTTAAACCATTAATTGACTCCATAGCATTGTTGTCAATTACTATATCATATGGATCATTTCAACACCACAGCAGTGTCTCACAGTGGATTCTTCCCTAGGCAGGATCTCCCCTTCTGCCCTTCTTTCTCACACCCCACAGAGCTCACCATTGGCCACTACTGTTGCTCTGTCTTTCATACCAAGGCCTTGTTGAATCCTTACCAGCCCCTGCCCATTGTGCCCCTTTGCTGACTGCCTACAGTGCAGGATCCCAAGACCAGAAACTAATCTGTCAATGGAGGTTCCTCTCCAGCCAAACAGTTCCTCTAACCACTCCGAGGCTTAATATTAATTACAAACTGTCAGCTGATTGCTCAGGCATCTCACTGGCTAGCTCTACATATAAATTAATCCATTTCAAATAATCTTCCTATTGTCACATGCCCCGTGGCTTACTGACAATGTTCTGCCAACATACTCCTCCAGTGGCTGTTGGTGTCTTTCTCAACCCTGCCCTTCTTCACCTTTATCTCTGCTTGAATTTCCCTCCTAAGTATATTCTGCCCTGCCATAGGCCAAAGCACCTTCTTTATTAACCATTATTAATAAAACATATTCACAACATTCAGAGGAGCATCCCACATCACTAGGTAATGGTGGGCCAAGCCAGAAGTGTGATCCTGATCAGCTGGATGGTACCCATCCTCTCCATCACCACAGCGTTGGTTCCTGCTGACCCACACTCCATCCAGCTGTAAGGACACACTAATGTAACAGCTGAAGAAAGGTACAGCCTTCCTGGTGGTGTGGAGGATGACTTTGTCATCCGACTGTGAGTTCATCAGAATTCTAGGTATAGATGCTGAGCTGTATACTTTCCCTTTCCTCCTGGGGATTATCTCCACATTACCACTGTACAGGGAACCCAAAAGTTCACATACCTAGTTGAAGACAGCATTTCACCATTAAGCTAGCTCCCAAACTCACTTCTCTTTCTCCTTGAACACTTATCTGATGTGTTTATTTGTGTTTGTGAAGAAGAATGTGCACATTCATGTTCACATTCATATGAAGGTCAGAGGTCTTCGTCAACTGACATTCCTCATTTACTTTGGTTTTGAAATAAGGTCTTTAATAGGTTTAGAAATCACTAAATTGCCTATGTTGACTGACCATAGAGTCCCAGGGATCCATCTGCCCCCTTCTTCCCATAACTGTGACCACAAGTTCATATGACCACTCTTGGCTTTTTTCTTCGATTTCAGGGAATAAAAATCGGCTTTATCCCTAGGGTGGGTACAACAATTTATCCACCTAGCTATGTCCAAAGCCCTCATCCTCTTGATAGTGTCTTTGATGTACAAAGTTTGAATTGCCTCAGGCTCAAAGTAAAGAATCCTCCAGACCCTGGCCTGAACCCTCTGGAGCTGGGATTCAACCCAAACCCTTGCTTCCCTCAGTGGGTTTCCTCAGATGTGCTGTCCCAGTGATAAAAAGCTAACTGACACCCTCCTCTATACACTGTCTGCTCAGCGGTCCTGTAACAACAGAAAACACATGGAGGCAGCCATCTGGACGGCAGATCAGCATCCTCTCTGAAGTATCTGGGATTGGACTGTGATCTGCAAAGCAGAAAATTCACAGTGGAGGCCCCTTGATGATCCACACATTGGGTGGGTCAACCTTAGACATTTTGCCCTGAACTTAGTTTTTAGCACAGGTGTCTGAGATTACTACTGTAAACATGCCCCTTCCCCATCAACAGTCTGCTATCTTTATTGCAAGGCTGTCCCTGTAGGAGGTTCATCACCAGAGGAATAGTTGCTTGAGAAGTCCTGGGGAACCTTCATAGAATGGGCAAAAGTGAAACCCTGGTATCCGTGTCCTGGACTCACTAAGACGTAGACTCAGACTCCTCCCACAACTGCACGACTCAGTTCATGGGCAGCATGAGATGTGTGCAGCACCAGGCTCCTTAGATACCTGGGCTGAAGCCAGGAAGAAGGCAGGGATACAGCTGAGGCATGCCAGTGCCCATGGAGTGCATGAGGTGGCCACCTCAGGGCCTTAATTGACTGCTGCACATATAGGAATTGTTGGTACATGGCTGCTTTCAATTCATGGGACCCTTCTTATCACTCCATGCTCCCCCTGGGTTGGTACCTCAGTGCTCACTTGGAGAAGAAATTCTGTGTGTGATCCCCCAAGGCTGTAATCCTCTGAAACCCCATGTCCACCTGCTCAATGTGTGTTCTTAGGAACTTTGAGAGTCAAGAATGTGTCAAAATGAATGTACACCTTTCCCTCTCTGTGCAAGCCTCCAGCAGTGTTTCAGGGATCACATAGTTTCCAGGGACACCAAGCACCCCAACCCAAATGCACCTTGGTCTCCTCTTATCCTCTGTCTACGAACACAACCAGTTCATCACCGAGTTGAATCACCCACTCTCCTCTCAAGGGGTTCCTGTAAGTGTTCTCCATGACAACCCTACATCTTCCCAGAACAGCTTGCTATCTTATAGCAAAAGGAGTTACAGGTTCCCTCCATGGCTCCCTGTAGTTCTAAGTCCGTTGAGGACCCTTATAGGATCAGGTTTTTGCCATCTGTTGACTGTTTCTTCTTTTGCTAAACACCCAGGATTCTTAGGAATGCCTGCATTGCAGTGTGCCCTGCAAAAGCATTTTTTTTTGGTAATCTGATCACCATCTCGTCCTCCTTGGAGGTCAGCACAGAGGTCACATGATCCACAGACTCATTTGGGTGCTCTCTGTGAAGCATCCAGGGCTTGTTTTATGTTCCACCAGCACACAACCATGGTGATGCCTCAGGCACAGAACCCTGGTTTGGGGAAGACTGTTCCTCAGACATGAGGAGACATGGAATAACACTCTGCCAGTCATAATGTCTAGCTGTGACGTCATGGGAAAAGGACTAAATTCTGTTCCTCGGTTTCCTCCTCCATAAAAGAAACTGATAATAACATGTAGGTTAGAGTTCCATCACAGAAGTCAGAGACTATAAGTGACAATTTCTAATACTCTGCTGTCACTAGAGCCACACCTCTGCCAATCAGAGCTGAGTGAACAAAACCTGGCCACTTTCTGTGCAGTTATACGTTTATTGAATTTGTGAAAGCCCTGTATTTGGGGTAAGGAAAGGGAGGTGTCCATCTATTGCGTGATGTTGGCCAGTGGGGAACCTAGGAAAAGGCTCCTCTGCCCCAAGTAGGTTGAGTAGGGGAAAGGAACTGAGCTGACCAATCGTCTCCATGCAGAAGCAGGAATAGGTTCTCCACAACAGTGCCAGATGTGGGCAGGCCCAGGAGCGGCTGAAGGGACACTGAGGGGCAGAGCTTGGGTGAGGAAAAGTTTGAGGCAGGAACTGTGCATACATACTGGTCTCAGACTGTCCACAGGTCCCTGTGCATGATCTAGATACACAGTCACTGTCCTGTTCAAGCCAGACATGGTACAGAAAATCAGAGCATGGGAGAGCCAACATACACATAAAGACCCAAATAGACTTAATCCTGGCTCCCAGGAGAAACCCTCACCACTTAGGAAGTTCTAATTTCCCTTGGGATTTGTGACTTTGGCCATAAAGAGTGAAGACTGAGTATTTGTGTCAGAGATAATCATCAGGAATGGCCTGTTGAAATTCAAAGTATTCCTTATTACAGAAAATCCCGTCATCATCATTCCCGTAGCAGCCGCTGCTTTTGTGCCTGTCTCAGCCACGTCCAGCACAGCCTTGTGGACCACCTGTAGGAGAAAGACATCACTCACTGAAGACCAGGGAGTGCAGGAGAGGAGATTTCTGGAGCAAGCATTGACTGCTGGCCTCCGACACTGGTGAGCCTGTTTGTTCCTGCCATGAGCTCGACCCCTGGGGTTTGCAAGTCTCTTCTTAGGGTGTGAGATGAGGCACACCCTGTGAATGCTCAGTCTCTGAGAATCTCTGCTGCTCTCAAACCCACAATACAGTGGAGGACGGGTATAGGCAATGTCAGTCCTTGCTCCACAGGTCACATCTCAGGAAAACCGCAGGGTGCAGCCAGTGTGCTGGCAGCCAGTGCAGGCTTCAGCATCCTGCCAGCTTCAGCCTCCTTGGGAAATACAGCAGTAATGTATGGGGCACAACTTCTCTTTCCTAGACTGCCATGATCTGTGGGTACAGATTAGAGCCTGGGGCTCTGAGTGGGCACTGCACAGAATACTAGGCATTGCCATGCTGTGCATCTGGGAACGTAATGTGAGGTCCTAAGGCATCTTCTCTCCTATTCTTAAGTTTTCATCTCAACTGCATTCATCAGTTGTTATTTCCTTTACTGCTCCAGTTCTGTGTGCCTGACAAGAAGTGCTGGGGTGGCTGTGAGTGAAGAAGCTGAGACTGGAAGGCTTTGCCCTGCAGTGAATTGTGGGAGGCATCCACACCACAGTGCTGGTTGGTGTGATTGAAAACCGACGGTCAAGCACAGGCTCCTTCCCACCAAAGCTCCTGGCTGAGGTTATGTTCACAGGACAGAGGAGAATTGGCTGCATGGTGTCCAGCAGGAGTATATGTATCTAGGCCGTAACCCGGGTCTCCCAGGATGAGGGAATCTCAGAAATGCAGGCTTTCTCACACATTTGCCATCTCCCACACACCTGCCTTGCCACACACCATCCACATTCACCAGTGAAAACAACCCAGTGTGTCTTGGCTTACCTGAGAGACTCTGAGGTCCTTGGCCCCTGTGATCCCAGACAGGTCAGCTTGTGTGGAGAAGACTTCCCTGATGCCCAGCTGTGGAAGAATTCTCTCCAGGCTGTAGTCAGTGGAGATGGAGAACTTGGGCAGGGAGAGCTTGTCGATCATCCTGAGAATGGAGAGAGAAACATAAGAGTCACAGAACTATTTGTTTCAAACTTTCAAAACCTTTCAAATCACACTGTAGCTGGGCAGGTCTGCACACCGCCCTCTCACAGGGGAGAAGTTCTCTTTCCATTAGTGCCTCCATCACATCATTTGCTTTTCCTGTGGCATTAATTATCCATCAGTGCTGGAGAGGCAACGAGGCTTCGTACCAGCTGTTTCCTTTCCAAAAATGCTTTGCTCTCAGATCTACAAATGCAGTCCTTTCCTTGTCGTGTGGACTCCGACCCTATCTAATGATTCACCCATCTGACTCCAGCTTTTTTTAGCCTTAGACCTTTCGATCCTCAATCTCACTCCTTGTCACCTTTTAACAATCATTTTAAAATAATGATGGGTTGCATTTCTATCTCGGCACTCTCTCTTCCTCAGTTGCAAGAAGAGCCCACAAGGGTAAGAAATTTTGTGCTTTAGTCTCTGAAATACTCTCTGGATTTAACCATAATATAGAACATAGTAGGTCTTCAAGTCATCATTGCACACTGGTGAATGAATGAGTGATGACGGATGAGATGGCTGCACGGGGCAGAGCTGATTCTCAGAGATGATCTCCTCTCACCCTCACTCCCTCTGTCCTTCAACACCCAAGCAGGATTCCGTGTAATTACAGCCTGGGAGACACAGAGGAATCCTCAGCTCCTGCCCTAGCTGATGTCATCTTGTGAAAAACAAAAATGACAGAAAATGTAGTCCCCACACTACAGAGTCAGCAGAGGTAAATCCACCCCCATTCTGCCTGTCCCTGCTGAATCTCCACCCATTACACTGGGTGCTAGCGAGGTTCTGAGGTTCAGGGACACTGGCCTCAGGCTGACAGTAGGATAGGTACCCAGGCCAGCTCTGGTTCCAGAGGACACGCACCTGGGCCTCAGAGAGTACCTCCACTTCCTCAGGGTCTCTGGCTGCAGGCTGGCTTCCACCTGCTGCATCCTGCCCTGGTCAGGGAGGATGAACAGGGCGCTGGCATTGCCTGTGTACTTCAACTCCACCACAGTGCAGGACAGCTCCTCATCCCGGAAGTAGGGGGTGCTCAGGTCCTCAATGTTCATCATGGGCACCTTCACAGATCTGTCCTTATCCAAGTGAAACTCAGATTCGTATGTGTCACGAGGGTCAAAGGGAAACTTCCATTTTCCTAAAGATGAAAGGGATTAAAAATAACTTCACCTGAGAGACTCACTGTATCCAGTTTCTGCTCAGCTCTATGTGTGACAGCAATCAATCTATCTTCACAGCACAGGTGTCCCTCAGGGGTGGTGAATGCTGGATTGGAAGTGGACAAGCCCCTAAAGGCGAGAAGAGACTGCAAGCTTGGTTTGGAAAAGGGGAAATTCAAAATCAAAGCCTGGTTACTTGAGTTTCGAGCAACTGTTAGGGTCTGAGATGGGGAGAGTAACAGAGACCTGAGCTGAAAGTGATACATTGGATTGGGAGGAGAGTTGGGACCCCTTTTTCCTCAGGAAGAACCATATCTAGAAAGCAACGGCTTGTGGAATTTTAAAAGAAACAGAATGAAAAAGACTGAAGTTTTCCAGAGCTTAAGCAATTTATGTATCCAGAGATTGTGGGCTAAATGTGAGTAACATGTCCTCGGCTCACACAGGGGCTATGGCCACCTCCACAGATATCCGGTCCCGACTCATCCTGGATTCCTAGTTTATGTTCCCATCACCGACACATCCTGCAGGACTTAGTACTGAAACAGTCTCTTGGACTGGGATCTAGCAGCCTAGACAAGCATCCCCACCTCACAGACAAGCAGTCTTGGTTCTTGGGCCCTGGGCTTAGAGAGACAGCCCAGCCATCCTTCAGGCCTTCACTCTGCTCCCACCATTCCCAGCTCACACAGCTCTGCAGCCATCTTGTCCTCATGTCCTCTGTCCTCCTAGTCCCTGTTTCTGTCCATGGCCACCTTGATTTTCTGCCCACAACTCACAGCCTGCCCTGGACTATCTGTAATCTAACCCAGATCAATACCATTCTGATTACATCACGACTTCTGTCAGGCACCAGTTCTGGACTGTCACCTTGGGCCCCGGTCTCTATCAGGCAGGGTGTTGTGGGTGTAGGCTCTGGATGTCCCCTCACTATCCTTAGCCTTTTCAACTCCAGCTGTGTCTCTCAACTCCCTTGCACCCATTTTCTTTAGAATCGCTGGCCATGGCATGTGTCTTGGGCATTTTGTCTTTTAGACTTTTGGGGCTGTTTAGTTTATAGAAGCAAAATTCCACAAAGGAACCATACACTAAACACGGCCTGCCTGACACTGCCCTCTCCTTAGTCTCCTGCATCTCTGCTTTTCTAGCCCAGGTCAAGCTCATTCCCGAAATGGCTCAAGGGAGAGATCCTAAATAGGAATTGCCCTGGGGCTCTTCAGGGTTAATGGGCCATGCTACTTTTCCTCTTAAGAGTGGGCAGTCACACTCCTTAGGTCACGGATCCCCAGCACACCTGGACCCTCCTAGGAACAGGCTCTCCAGCAGGGATGGACACCTCCTACAGGAGCATATTAGAGATGCTGGAGTGGGCAGAATGAGGGACCCAGTCTCTGCAGAGAGAAATCACAGCTTCTGCACACTCAGGAAGGACTGGACTCTGAAGCTATGCATTCTGCTAGTAAGTTTAAGTCACAGCCAAATTCAGCACTCTTAGACTGAGCCCTCGGGGCTTCTGATGAGCATGTGCCAGGAACCACAACTATATCCATAAATCCTAGGGGAGAAATAGGGGCTGTGGGTAGAGAGATGTGCGTCACCCACGTCTCCAGAGTTGTGAGCCCCTCTTTTCCAGGAGTCAGCATAAAAATTCAAGGTTCCCAGTCACTATCTTTTCCTACCACACCCCGTTCAGTGCCCACTCTCACCTTTGAAGTAGATGTAGTTCACCAGTACCATTCCTGCATCCTCATTCAGACCTGAGATCAGGTCCTTGATCTTCCCCTGGGTCTGTTTCCTCACATATTCATTGATGTGCTTTACGGCCTTATGAGGCAGCTGGAAGTCTATCATGGAGGCCTCAGCCTGGTAGAGCGCCCTTGCCTTCTCCTTGAACTCTGCCAGGATCCGCAGGTGCCTTTTAACAAAAATGGCATTGCCTGTACTGATCTGCACCTGGTCATTTGGCTGTCTGAGCATGTGGAGGAGGTGCCCAAATCCCCGGTGGATGTCTGCCTCAGGGGTCTCTGTGAGATTGAACTTGAGACCTTCTAGAATCTCTTCCCGGGTGTTGTTGCTTGCTCCCAGGGACAGGAAGGCCAAGGCAGCTGAGATGCTGAATGGGGAGAAGAAGATGTTTTTATCCCTGTTTTTCAAAGCCAGCTTCTTGTAGAGACAGAAGGCAAAGTCAGTGTTGGTGTAGGCCAGTGTTAGACTGTCCACTCGCGTCCCATTGATTTGGTCTTCCTGAAATTCAGCGTTACTCTCCATTGTGCCATCTTGTTGACAGAGGATAGCAGGGTAGATCCCCATCATCAAGAGCCCCAGAGCCAAACAGAGGACCATCTTCTTTGTTGTCCAGGCTGAAAAGCAAAACCCCTTTGAGACTAGGAAGACCAGGTGGTACCGTGAGCATCTCCGTGTCCTCCCACAGGGCTGCATTGTGTCCTTATTCTGCCGTGCCTGCTGCCTCCCCTAAGGTGCATGGGAGGTGCTCTGGCCCCGCAGATGGCAGCACCACGTCATGTGCTCCCTGTTACCAGCACTGGAGGAAGTGCTGCGGCAGCAGCCAATCTCCCTACAGAGAACCAAGATCCAGAGTGGGGCATGGATATCCCCGGTCAAAGAGCAAGACAGAAGTACAGTAGGGGTGTGGGGGAGGCATGAATCATGTCTAATTAGAATGGCTTCTTTCATTTTTATCTCCGCAGAAGGATTCATTAGAAGGCAGGAAAACCTCTACTTTGGCACTCCTTCATGCCCCACCTCCCTGTAGGGGGAACACAGGACCCTTTAAGCAGTAGTTAGCACAGGCCCTAACTGAACCTTTTGGTGAGTCTGGGAAATCCCAAGGCCCTTGACTGAATCTGGTGCATGAAGCCGGGCCTGTTAAGGAATAATTGAGAGGCAGATCTGGAGACATCTGTTATGTTGCCACGACCTTGGTACCCATGGGAACAGTAGGGAGAAGGGCAAACAGGGAAGGTTCTTTTAGTGCTGCCTGGGAAACAGGGTGGTTTTACCTGGGTCTTGGAAGGCCTCCTGGTGGGAAGAAAGTTGACATCTGGTTATGAAGACTATGTGTTAGCAAACAAATAGATGGACCTCACTGGGCAGTGTGGTAGTGACACAGGTTCCATTATTTGCAAATGTCTGACTTATTGTGGTGATAAAAGGGATAGTTGGAGGGAATGTCTAGAAGGCTACTCTTCCATATGCCTCTGGAGTGGGGGCCACAGGCATCCTAAAGGATTACAGATGAAGACTTGTGATGATGGAAAACAACAGGCACCCACCTTTAGCCTCTGTCCCTTTGCTCAGGTGTCCAAAGGTGAAAGTGGACGGTAAATACATGGAAGGGAAGGAAAGAGACAGGAGAAGGGTGGAGGAATCAAGGAGTGAGAAAGTGGAAGAAAGAGGAACAAAGAGATTGGAGGAGAGAGGGCCATGAAAGGAGGAGGGTAAAAATGAAAGGTGGAGGGGAGCGAAGACTAGAAGAACATATAGAAAATTGGAAGAGGCAGAGCAGGGAAGGCTGGAGCTCAGTTGCTTGTCCCCAGGGCTGTTACTCTCCTGCAGAAGAGTCAGGGACCTCAGTAAGTTGGCTGCCTTTACTCCATGTTTACTCTGTGACTGATGCAAGCATTTCTTCGGAGAAGCACTGAACACTATTTGTATCAGAATTGTTTCCAGAGGAAAGGAGCTGCTCCATGTGTGCAGCAGGAGGCCTGGCTCAGTGGCTGAGCTACTGCTTCCTCCCTTCCCTAGTTGAGGCTGAAGACCCTCTGCTTGGCCATAGGATCTACAAGGGAAGTGGGTTCCTGATGACCAGGCATCTCCTGTCAACTGTAAGTATGGTGGGGAAGGCACCTCCTCCAGAGGGACTTTCCTGTCTCTCCTTAGCTCCTTCAGCCCCAGGCAAGATAGACAAGGTCTCAGTACTACCTCCCTGTGGAGGGCAGAGAGGAGCAGGCTCCTTTCATTCTACAGGAGCAAAGTTCATGGCTCCTCCATCTTCCATAAACATGAAGACCCAGACTGGGGAGAAGATTTATGTGCATCCCAGAAATGTCCCCTGATTCCACTTCAGTGACCCAAGAACAACCCATCACCCTTCCTCCAAACCAAGATTCCAAGTCATCACCAAAACTTCACAGTCTTGGGAAGGCACTTCCTTTATTCCCAGAGGGCAGGAATCCTTGGCATTACCTGAGAACTAATGCCTGCTGCCCACTTCTGGGATAACTGAGTTCTGGATATTCATCTTTGTTGCCTTCTGCTGTATTGTTCTGTCTGCTGCACACTGATGCCTACTTATTCCTACCAAGGTGTTCTCCCTTTTCTTGTATGCTGGCACATACAAGCTGTGCTGTGTGCTCAGACTGGAAATGAGCAGATAGAATGATTTCTGGTAATGTGCATTTCAGACTTCTGCTAGCAGAACCACCTGACAGAAAATGTTGTCCCAAAAGTGTTGTAAACAAGCTTTCTGGATGCCCTGGGAATGTCAGGAGCATTGAGAATATGCAAATCCCTGCCCCATTTCTCACCAGGAAGGCCTTTAGCTAACATTTGTTCTGTATTTCTAAGTTACTTAAAAAAGAAGACAACTCTGGGTCCATGCTCCCTGATTTCTTTAGGGAAACTCACACATTAATAAACACCGGCCTCAATGCTGACAAACCAAACGTGCATCCTGTCCTGTCTGGCAGCAATAGACATTTTCTTAACAGAGACTCGCTGTGTCCTCTTTGGCATCAGAATTCTGAAGGGAAGCTGCCTTGTTTGGCAGTGAAGGGAAATCCCTGAAAGGATTCTGTGCCTGCAGAGCCAGGCTGACTGATCTGAATTTCAATACTGAAGAGAGATGGGAACATTGTAGGACCAGAGGCCAGTTACCTTCTCATGAGCTAAGGGGGTTGGGTCCAGGAGGGTCATTCAAAGATGAGGACAGAACCAAAATCTAATAAACCAGCAGCAACCTTTATTCCAGATTCCAGACTCCAGGAAAAAATTAAAAAAAATTAAATTAAATAAATCTCCATGGGACAAAGAGACAGAATGGCCTTTTAAAGACACAGTTATAGAGCCAATTATGTAACAACAGTTCAGAGTTCTGGAGCAGCAGTCTCAGAGGGTGAGAAATGAAAACATTGTCCAATGTATAGTATGGTTTCTCCCATAGCCAGGACCCACAGGTCCAGAAGCTAATAGTGAAAAGGCAGGGTTCCACTCACCATCGCCCTAGTGGTCTAAATGAAGATTTTTAAATCCTATTCCCATGACCTAAATTCTGCCAATTAGAAGGTGTGGTTGTAGGAGAAGGATCATTCCTGCCAGTAGACACAACAAACATTCCAGTGAACTGAAAATTCTGACTTTTACATGAGGATTAGACACATTTTACCCAACAGTCTAAAAATGGAGGGACTGTGTTAGGTGGAATGATTGGACCAGATAACCAAGCAGAATAAGATTGCTTCTCCCCAGTGGAGGGAAGAAAGATTGTGTCCAGAGTCATGTGATCCTTTAGGGAGTCTCTTTGTGTTACCATGTCCTGAGATTAGAGTCATGGGAAACTACAGCAACCTAATCCAGGTGGGATCACAAAGGGAATGTAGGCATGTGTCTCTTCCCCTGTACAGAACAAAGGCCAGGTGAGGTGCTTGCTGAGTGTGCAAGAAATACAGAGTGGGCAACAGAGGAGCATTGCAAAGGCTGTGTGACCAGTTCCGGAATGAGAATTAAGATTGACATGAGTGTTTCTGTTATCTTTTGTTTTAATATGTATTTGTACAGATGCTTGTGCTTGCGTTCCTCAATTTCTTTATCATGCAATGCAATATCTATTCAGACAATGCCAGTGGATATAATATTTGAGTTAGACATATGAAAAGAATGACTCTCAAGGGACATCACTACCTATTATAAAATTAAGTATGCATTTCTGGTCAGATAAAGGAAAGTCATATCATACTAGGTATGATTTTGATGTTAAAAATATACTGTATTAAATTGTACATGGGATAGTTAAGCCACATAAGACATATCTAAAACCTGAGTATTGCCTTCAATAGGAAGTTAAGTATGCATCAAGGAGACAGGATATCTGTCGAGGTGATAAGGAGTGGACTTCGGATGGCTACTATTGATTATCAACTTGATTCGATTTGGAATTAAGTAAAACGTAAGCATCAGGCTACAGCTGTCAAGAACTGCTTCTTAAATAATAATTTTAAATAGGGAGAGGACATTGATGCTGGAATTTTTGAAGCAGACAGATGCACCTTTGGTCTGGGCCACACCTTCTGCTGGCATCCTATATGAAGGACATGGAAGAAGGGAGCTTGCTCTTTTTGCCTGCTTTATCTCATGCTCCCTGGCAGTCCATTCCTTCACTGTCATCAGAGACCAATTCCTCAGGGATTCCTGCATATACTGAAGACCAGGTGAGACATCTAGACCTGTGGACTGAAAAACTATGGCATCCTGGTACCTTCCACTGGTAGAGAGCCTTTTTTGTACTAATTGGATCACAGGTTTTAAGTCATTATAATAAATCCCTTTTCTGTTCATATATTTCTGGATTAATTTTTACTTCTCTGGAGAACCCTAACAATGGAAAATTAATTGTCTATTTGCTTCATATGTTCAATGGTGAATCAGTACTTATGGGGACGAAGTCACAAGCCAGGATAACATAGTTCTATAAGGCCAACGTTCCACTCAGCACAATCATGAGGTTTTCATCAATGAGCCCAGCAGACTCCACTGCAGCGGTGGCTTTTCTGTGAGAGCATCAGTTATCACTGTCATCTCATGGATAGAATGTGGGCCGCAAACAGGGAGGTGACACAGGCTTGAGTTATGATAGTCAGATTCACCTTCCTGTTCTCCCCGCTGCTTTTGTTCAGTTTTATTCTAGGATTTAGACTCTTGCTATGTAGGGAAGGGCTATGGTTAAATGTGAAATGATCTCCAGAAGCTCAGGGTTTTGACTTCTTGCTCTCCTGTTGGTGACACTGCTTTGGGAAACCAGTGGCTAAGTTTTGACTAAACCTATGAGTTAGAGGGATTTAATTAGCTGAGTTTGACGAAGATTTCCTGAGTCTTTCGATGGGAGGTGCTGATCTCCCTAGGAGGCTTAGACTGAATCCTTGCCTGCCACCCTGTCTGTCCTGCCAAGAACTCAAGAACAGAAACTAACCCTTCTCCATTCAAATTGCTTCAGTCGGGTATAGGACCCATCAATGAGGAAAACAAGGAACATACCCAGCTGTCCTCACTCCTGCTCTCCCTGTCTCTGGCTTATTTAGTGCTGGGATGAGAGCTGTGTACAGCCTTGGCTGTGCCAGGTCTTTCCCAGGTCCCTCCAAACCCTGCCCGCCTGACCTATCCCCTTCCTTCCTCTATCTTCTTTCCTACTTAGCTCCCCTCCTTCTTCCTCTTCTGCTTCTCCTCTTTTCTGTCTCTTTCTATCTCTCTTTATCCCCTCTCCAAAGTTAAGTATGAGCCACTCTT